CAGGAATGCGTGTAAAGGTTTGGCGTGATTCCTGGCACCCAACACTTGTTCAGTAATTATTAATGGACTCACTAACAGACACTAGTGGAGCCAAGAGGTTACTCTCAAGAATATCCACCATCCTTGCTTAGTTATCTAGGGAATTTTATTTAATCAAGCTACACCTCAGAATGTTGGTAAAAACCAAGCTGCTGAGCCTCAAGTCACCTGCCCATCAGTTAAATACAATTAAGAAAGCAAGCCTCTTATCAAGTTCAATATGATACAAATTGTTGTCTATATTCACTAACATCAAACTTGCTAAGAGACTACAACTTAATGATTTCCACCACTAAAAAAGAAAGGATAATTGTGCAACACGATAGAGGTGCTAATAATCACTACATAGGCTATTAAAATATATAAATGTATCAAATTAACACGCTTTACACCTTAAATATGCACAATGTTACATGTTTCAATTAAATAAATTAGAAAGCAAGTCTCTCCCCCTAATGGTCTGGATCTCAAAGAGTCCCATAGGAAGAAGTCAAAGCAAATACCTAAAGTGACCTTTATATTCAGTATTAATAATTCAGAAACCCAAGAACATTTTTATGGACACACCCGAGAAATCCCAATCTTCTGTAAATAGACCATAGTGGCAGAACTTCTGTCACACCAATAAAGGCTCAAAGCCTGACTGATAGGCTTGAGATTAATGAAGAGACAGACATAAATAACAGCATTTCTGAAAGCAAATTACCAGTCACTGTTTCTTTAATTTACCAGAACATATATAAACCATTTCTACACCAGAGGGCAGGAAGGCTGACTATGATACACTGGACAGTTACATTAGCACTATTCAATGGGGATCGGGGAATGCAGAGGGGTGTGTGCAGTGGGAGAGGAAGGGCATAGGAGTGGGCATGTGTCATCCGGAAACACCTGTATGAATATATGAGTTTGCAGGTAGCTTGCTAACATAATTATCTCCTAAAAATTACCAGCTGATTTCATCACAAAAACCAGAACACAATGAAACTCAGCTAAAAAGCCCCCAAATGAACAGTTTATTAAGCAAAAATATATAATCATTGCAATATTCTGAGGCAACACTGATAACCAAGACACATTAAAAAAAAGCAAAGGTCATCTTTGACATAAGCACACCAATTAAGTGAACTTTTAGTTAATTCAAATTTCGATTTCGAGGAATAACCAAAGTCAAGAGTTTTTAAATTATATTCTAAAGCAGGATACAGTAATCAGATAAAAGGATGAAGGGGAACTTCGAGGGCAGGTTATCGATGTCTCTAACCCAGATCTGGAGATCACAGGTAAGCCTTGCCCATTTTATACTAAATACAAATACCAAGCAGGTGTGTGTGTGTGTGTGTGTGTGTGTGTGTGTGTGTCAAGATCAAGTGAATTTTCTATTCTATGTTTGTGACTGTGCAGGGTTTGGGCAGACACAGGGATAAATTCAGGACCTTTAGCACTACCAGGGAAGCGATATCAGCTAAATCTAGCCATGTTCACCAACCCTGGCACACTGAAAACCTGCCAGGATTTGTAATCATGAGCAAATCAAGGCTCTCCTGCAACTTGAATGCACCCGACGGTCCTGTGCACACTGGGTTTCACGCTCCTCTGCTTAGTTGCTCAGAAGAGCTAAATCAAGCCCCCCCAAGAGTCCCATCCTGTCCATATTCACTGAATTCCTTCTGGGTGCCAGACATCTTACCAGGCTCTGGGAATGAGCTCATGCATCCCCCAGATCATCACCACAGATCTAGGTTTCTCTTACTTTTCCACAAATTAACAGGACACACAATGACCATATCTTTCTTACCATTAACTCCACTTCCCAAAAACTGTCAGCAGTTCAGAGAGATTAATTTTGCTAACCATGTCCTTACAAAGCTAACATACTGTACTTGTACACTTCAGAGAGTCAATTATTTGGTCAAATATACATATAATAGTGAATAAATTCACATTCCACAAAAAACAATGATGACGAGAGGTAATCTTTTTTTTTTTTTTTTGGTACCTGGGATTCACTGTCATGGCAAACCACTAAAATGAAGCTATTTTTATCCTAGGGCTGCAGGGATGCCCACAGGAACTCCTTGGCTCCTAACCTGCTGGCAGTGACAGAAAACAGAAGCAGCTTAAACCTGAAAGCTTTCCTCTTTTTCAGACAACATACATGTTAATAATATATGTAATCAATGAGGTGAAACTAAACATTCAAGTAGATGAAAAATTTACCTAATGAGTCAAGAAAAGGCTAAAATAAAACACACAAGTTACATGGACACCAGATAATCAGATCTAAATGAGTTAATATGGAAAGTTCCTTTTCACTATACATCAACAAGAGACAAATCCAGACTGAGGTCCACTGTTATATTAGAAACAGTTTAAAATATTCTAAACTGAAAATGCAAAAGTTAGGGACCTAACTTCTGGTCCCTGATCTACCACTAAGTAAATGAGAGACCTCAGACAAGTCATTTCCCCTCTTTCATCCGGGAGAGGTTGGACTGAATGGGACCTATTATCACTGTGACCTACTGTCCTTCCCAGCTTTAAAATACGATTCTATGAGACTGAAAACACAAAGATACAGTATTACCATGTTATTGTAATCAGATGGGTCATATGTGCTCTGTTTAAAAATCTTACAGAGTTCCATAAATTCTTCACTCATCTCGTGGATTTGTCCATTTAAAATTGCTCCTTTGGTACCGCCAAATTCAAGTCTTTCCAGCTTTTCAAATTCCAGTATGGTGACAAATATATCCTTTGAAAAAACATCATAAAGATTTTTCCACCCTCTTGAGTAGGAAAAAAGTTTCAAAGAAAGAACATTTTCCAACATTCAAAATCAGTGAGTCAATGGACACTTACATGACATAAAGTGAATATTAATGATATAACTGAACTAAGTAACTGCCTACTTTTAAAATCATACTCCCATTTTCACATGGACTGAAAATTATCAAGCAGTACAGGCAACACCTAGCTTACCATAGTTAAACATCTGATTCTCTAATTTCATATCCTTCTAATCATAAGTCAGAAGTCGAGGTGAGATCCAAAACTCATTTTCAGCCACCAACACTGCAGTGATGGGCTCTCTTATTGAAAAGGAGCTTAAGAGACTGTTATGAAAGGGTGATGCAAGTTACCCAGAGTCAGGCATTTGGCACTCAAACTTTAAGAGGCATTCAGGCTGCTTAAGTGATGAGAATTTTCAAAACATAAAGCTCTAATTTTGAATGAAATTCAACAAATCTATCAACAAAAAAGCCCAAACTTGCTAGAAAGAGTTTTACAAAGAAAATAAGGAAGTTCAAAATGAAAAAAAAAAACAAAAAAAACCCAGAAACCTTAGCCAGTTGGCTCCATACAAGTTGTTGTGTGTAAGTGTTTACATGTATGTAATTCATGTTTGGTTTTCTGGCATTTAAAACATTTATAAAAAGCACGTTTTCATGTTCTTTTCATCTATTTTTATGAATAGTTATAATATTTGAATAGTATAACATATTTATATACTAAAAGTTACCATGATATTTTAGATTACCAAATGGGTTTTCAGCTATAGAATCCCAATAAAACTATCAAATATGTAAAGGAAAAAAGGGGTTATTTTATAGCTTCCTGATTTACAACCATTTTCTAGGAACATAGTAAGCTGTAGGACAAGGGTCACTGGTACATAGAGATTCACTTACACTCAGTATAATAAAATAATCAAAAATGAATTTTTTAGAAAAAGAAGCCAAAGCTTTAAAACTAAACAAAGCTTTGAAACTAAACAAACTAAAGCTTTTACTGTATCTTGATAGCACGAGCCTCGTAAACTCCTCATGAGGATCACCAAGAAAGCAGACTTCCCGCCTCCCACCCAAGTAGAACAAACTGTTCCCTAAATCATATAAAAAGCTACAGGATTTTCTGAAACAACTTACAATATGAATAAATTACAAGTCAATAAATGAATACCTCTATTTTCATGAAACGGTCGAGAAATTTGTCAAATCTAAGAAACACCAGATGAGACTGGAAATCCCATGGTTTCAGCTCCTTATTTCCCATAAAATAGCTTGCCAATCCTTTTCTATAGTTAAAAAAACAATTTTTGAAAGTCTTTAAGATGTTAACGGCCACCTGCACCTTTTCCAGAGAGTCTTCAATTTCTCCTCTCAAAAGGTCTTCAGGCAAAAGGTAAGCTAGCGCCTAGGATTCAATGAAAGGAAACAATAAGAAGAAAATGTTTAATAGTTTTACTGAAAATGACTGTTTCAATGAACTGTTTTATTTTTTCAGTGCATCATTTTTAAATTACAATGTCTAGAATTGGGCCAGCAATGCTGTAAAACAGGAAATACAAATTCTAGAAATTCAGGCACTTGGGTTTCAGTGACATACTTGCATACATTAGAGACATCTACAGGAGATGCTGCAATTTCTGGAATTAAACATTCTGCCAATGACTACATTTTTGCTAAGCTTCAAAGATACAACAACTGTGTAACCAGAATTTGCATGGCTATTCCTGGCAGCAAATATTCTGCACAACTGTTTTTTCATATAAAGAAATGTATAAGCCAGAAAGGGAAATCTATCAGACCATGTATTTTAAAAATACGGTCAACATTAGCTGGCAGCACAAGGTCACTTGAAAAGGTGAGAAAGAGCTAACATAGGTGACTATACCACTGGCAATTCTTTTAGGTTAGCAGACTTCTCTTCTGGGGGCTTAAACTCATTACAGGACATAAAATCTAGCCGAGATATGCCATATGAACTAGTTTTCAATAGTGGAAATGCAAAGACAATAACGATTATAGAAAAACCAGCAGATTCACGTAGCAACTCTCGTAGGACCATCATTCAGTTCTTCCCTTTGCATATTTGTTATGAACTTTCACAATTTTCCTGTTTAGGAGCCTCAGGAACCTATAAAATCTAATCCTGATGCATCTTCACCTCATATAAATTATAGGTTTAAACTGCACACCTTTAATTCTGCAGTTGCTTAGAAAGGTGTCACAGATCTCAATGGAGAAAGTATTGAAAGCCATTGGGTTCAACACAGCAGATAGAAGAAATGTTTTTCTAAATGTAGACACATTGTCCTCCGTCTCCAAATAATGGCTATGGTTTTACATGCAATATAGACTCTCTGCCATAAATGTGTAAAGTAGTAAGAATATCATTCATTTGGTATCTAAAAAGCCTACTAACTAGTTCCTTCAATTCTAGCAGATCAGGAACAGTGAACAGTGGAGACCATGGTCACCTGGACACACATGACCCATCTAAAGGGGTACGTGAAGCTCTAGCAGCTGACTGTGTCAATGGGTATGCAAGAGCCAATGCAGTGAGATCTGACTTTTCAGTAGAGGCTGGGATGTTGGAAATTCAATGAGACCTACTCAATTTAAACATCAGCAACAATTTTTTTTTAAATTTCAAAATACTATGCAAAATAAAAACAGTGTATTGATCCATTGGCCAAAGACAGTTGACAGAATGCCAGCTTATGACTTCTGACGTATACCACAGCAAGGGTTCAAATGTTTCATAAACACGTTGAAGTCTACATAGTCACAAAAACAAAGTACATGAAAACTATATAAGAAAATTATAAAAGGCACATAAAATGTGTAACCACACAAATCATGAAACGTACAAAATTAAGAAACAACATGGTACAAGTGTATACCCAATGAATCACTGCAAATTTTTTAAAGCTGGTAATGCTCAAAGCTGTTGAATTATACTAAACCTTTTTACACATTGATAATAGCAATGCAATTAACATAATCTTTTAAAAAAGAATTTGTAAATATCAAATAACGTTCGATATTCATGAAAAGATTGTACCCCTTGATCAACATCAGGAATTTATATTAAGCCAATTATCCAAGTTAAGGAAAAGGATTTCTGTATAAAGTTGTTTTCTGCATGTTGTTTATAATACAAGAGGCTGGAAGCAACGTAAATATCCAACAATAGCAATCATTTTTCAAGAAGCTAGTAAAATAAAAAGAATTATATGATAAAATGCATAAATACGTGTAAATTTTGGAAGAAGGAAAATTTTTTTTTTTTTTTTTTTTTTTTTTTTTTTTGCGATACGCGGGCCTCTCACTGTTGTGGCCTCTCCCGTTGCGGAGCACGGGCTCCGGACGCGCAGGCCCAGTGGCCATGGCTCACGGGCCCAGCCGCTCCGCGGCATGTGGGATCTTCCCAGACCGGGGCACGAACCCGTGTCCCCTGCATCGGCAGGCGGACTCTCAACCACTGCGCCACCAGGGAAGCCCAGAAGGAAAATTTTTAAATGCTGAATTTTAGGGTAATAGAACTGCAGGACTATTTCCATTGTTATAAATTTTATGCAATAAGAGTATTTTTACAATTATTCATATACCACATATTAATAGTAATTAGAAATAAAAACTTACATTAAAATATGCAGCAAAATGAGTAAGAACTCTGTCAGCTGGGTGACCTTGTCTGAACTTTTTTTTTTTTTAAAAAGGGTTTTTTGTTTTTTTTTTAAATACATAAAGTATCTACTAATAGCACCTATATCATAGTGCTGCTAGAGAATTAAACTCGTAGATTCTTGTAATGGGCTTAGAAGAATTCTGGCGAATAAGAGGCACTATACAGTGCTTGTTAAATAAGTATTAAAAATAAGTTAGACAGCAAACGACTGGGGGTGGTGGCAGGTGGTGCCGAGTTTAGCTCTTCAGAGAACCCGGGTATGAACGTTGACTCATTGCCCATTTTTGATTCCTAACGTGTTGGGGCAGATTTACTACAAAGTCCACTTGGAGAATCTAGGAAATCAGGTCGACGGAACCTTTGGACATAAGCCAAGAATAGTAACTAAGGAACAAGAGAAACGACACTAGTTCCTTGGGAGCTTGGCAAACTCTGGCCATTGACACAGCCTAGGAGCCGGGGATAATAGGTTTATAGGCTTACAGGTAACCAGGGCTCCTTGCAAGCCAACTACGATAGTGAATGACAACCTTTGAGGTTTCTACACTAACAGAGCTTTGCAGTAAAAGTTTGGATCATTCTCAAAATGAGATGAGGATCCCTCAAAAGGGGTTTGGGAGAAGTGGTGGTCACAGTGGTTAAACCTGCAGTAGGGATCAAAGCCTTTCACATGGAGATCCAAGCCATTAGGACACAGTGCACTCACTTAACAAAAGAGCAAAACTGAGTCTGCACAACAGAGAAACAAATAGAATGAAGCCAGAAGAGATGCTAAAATAGAGCAAGGAACAGACCTGTTATGTCCTATCAACAGCTGCAACTATTTTGTAAGGCAAGAGTTTGGAACTAACTTTTACTGAGTCGCTGTTAAATGCCACACATAGCATTTCATTGAGGTTCTCTCTTTTGATCTTTACAAAAGCCCATGAACAGGGCACTTAAAGCGTGGAAAGTGAGGCTGGGAAAAGTGATTTAACTACTCTAAAATGGTTCAACTTGATCTTTTTTATTCTCAGCTGTGCAACACGGCTTGTGGAATCTTAGTTCCCTGACTAAGAATTGAACCCAGGGCCTCAGCAGTGAGTTCCCACTGGACCATCAGGGAAGTCTCCTGGTTCAATTAGATTTGAATCCTGGTTGGTCTGAGCCCAAAGCCCTTTCCATACACCATTCCACTTCTTTGGAAGCAGAGAGGAAGACACACGTGCACACCTCAATCTCATACGTATTCCAGAAACGGTAAGCTACAAGTCAGGAAATCTGTTCTTTAATTTGGATTTCCCCCTAAATGCTCAAGCAAAGTGAGCAAATATCTTTCAAGTTTCCATTAATTCACCTGAAAAAGTATCAGGATTAGAATGGAACACAGTTCCCCAACCAGTTTCTGCTACAACACTGTTCTCTTTAACGTTTAGAAAAGCAAGGTTCTGGGGCCTGGGGCAGCAGAAGCTCCAAGCAGCTTGCCCTGTCTATGAACAGATTTTCAGGGTTCCCAGTCCCCTCCAATTTTACCCCACTGTGCAATGAAAACTTTTAAATTTCGATGTGAGTCGTGAGGCGAAAACCACTGAGAAGCATTAGACTATATCAGGGATTTAGGTCAATCACAGTTGTCCACCCTTCTCTGAGCTAGTGATCCAGGCCTGTCCAAGATATCCTATCTCCCTGGCCACATGATTGTTCCAGGAGTGAAAATAAAACCCACTGGTCCAGAATGAAAAACAAAGTCAGCCTCTTTCCAGGGAAGTTTCTCTACCAAAAGGATATCCATCTGGTGCTACCAAAAGCCACCTTGGTTAACACGTGATGAGAGCCTGAGAATCAAGTCGAACACAAACGAGCAAAACAGAGCTTTGAAATTATCATCTGTGTCCCCTGGAGCAAGCTAATCCTCAAGTCTTTGTACTGTTAGACTTTCCAGTTCACATGAACTTAGACACTTCTCTTTTTCTGCTTCAGTTTGCCAGCTGCAGCTGGAAACGATCCAATTCTCATAGGAAGCGCTCTTACTTAGCAACTCAAAGGCTAAGCCATATGCACAGATTCTGATTCTCTGGCATCTGTTTTACAAAAACTCCTTAGGTGTTCAGACACACAACCTGATATAGACCCTGCTATGGACTCAAGTGTGACACCCGCTCCAAAAAAGTGCCTGTGTTGAAGCCCTAACCACCAATGTGACTACCTGGAGATAGAATCTTTAGGAAGTAATTAAGGTTAATGAGGTCATGAGGGCGGGACCCTGATCTGACAGGACTGTGGTTTTTTTAAAAAGAGGAAGAGGGAGATCTTTCTCTCAGTGTGAGGGCACAGAGAAAAGGCAGCTATCTGCAAGCCAGAAAGAATGCTCTAGTCAGAACATGACCATGCTGGCACCTGGATCTGGTCTCCCAGGCTCCAAAAATGTGAGAAAGCAATTCCTGAAAATAAAGCCACACAGCCTGTGGTATTGTTATGGCAACTCAAGCAGACTAAGACACACACACCCGCAACAAAGAATCACTGGATGATATGCCCTGCAAGTATCTTTTAGCTCTCAAATTATGAAATATTCTCTGATATTATGGACACAAGAGTAATTAAAGTTCCCACAGGATGAGGAAGCAGTCCAATTTTTTTTAAACATTTTGCAAGTGAAGAGTAGAGAAACAATTATAAACAAGATTTTAAAAGATCAACCATGAATCAGAATTCTTTTAATATAATTCTACTACTATTTTTGAAGGATTATTTTTTTTCTGCCAGATTCTCTTAGCTTACTTCCCTTTCCAAAAGTCTTCCCTCAGCCAGTGTTCCTGTGGAAACCAAAGGGAAAGCTACAAAGAAAGTACTACGTGTGTGTGCCTTTTATTAGAAGCTGCCTTAAATCTCTTTTGAAGAAAGGTAGGATGTTAAACAGAATCCAGTAACAACCTGTCCCTTGACTGTATGTGATTTATTTCCAGAGCTCCTTTGCCTTTTAGGATAGAAAGTCATCTGGCCTTTGTTACTATAAAAGTCTTATGAAAAAAGAAAAGGGAAAAAGGTGTTCTGTAGACTGGATTTATTCATTCCTCCTTGATCTCATAAAACCTACCACACGGCACTAATTCTCATTGTTCCTATGTTTTTCATGCTACATACCCGGTCAATGAAGAGATTACAAAACTCTTGCAATAGAACTATAATCCGAACAGGGGTATTATAAAACGTGGAATGACTCCAGATCAGACAGATGGTATGAAATAACGGGGCAATTAATACACCGGTCTGTGGGAATTCCGTCTCCTGGACACATTGAAGGTGTCTCCTCAGGGGTCTCAGGTAAAGTTCCACGTCTTGGGCTTCGAGAAGAGCTGAAAGGAAACCACCGTTAATGTGAGGCAGCCTCTTTTATCTGAAGTCACTTCACAAGGTCAAGAGAACAGTGCAAAACAACATGGCTGTACTTAAACACTGCCTCTTTCTTTTTATATCACTTACCCTACCATTGACACAGGACAGGTTAGGAAGACTTTCGACACTGTCTGGCTGTAACAACCCTTCAAAGAGAGCCCAGGCGTAGTTACTCACAAGTAAATCGCGACTGAAGACTCACCAGCATCACCACCAGAAAGTTAACTCCTCCCACGCACTTGGTACCAGCACAATTGAATCATTTATTATCTCATTCTAGTGTCCTATAAGAGTAACTCATACCATGAAAAAATTTTCCATTATATTATTATCTGCAGTGTAACTACTGAAATTGTCAAGCATGGGTGATGAAAATATTTTGAACTAGACAGAAGCAATAGTTACAGGATATTGTGAATACACTAAATGCCACCCATCTGTACACTTTAAAAACTTTTTTTTAATGTTAGGTGAATTTTACCTCAATTTAAAAAACTGTTATGCATGGTAGGAATAAGTAATACTTTTTAAAAAAGCTATATATGAAGACAACATTGAAATAGTTATGATTAATTACTGCTTAATCTAATCCAAATTTTCTCTTGATTAAAACTGGTCCTTTTAATGTACCCTAAATGGATCTCCATCAGACTTCACTGTACTCCTGAGGCTACAAATACCTTTGATTAACTGAAAATGGGCTTTATTTATGAAGGTAGAGAATGAAGGAAAGTAAATTCCTTATTTTCTGGGGTTATCCCAAAAGACTCTCGTCAGAAATCAAAAACAAAAACTGTCAGACTTTTTTTTTTGGCTGTCAGAGTCAGGTATGCACCCACCCATGTTGCTCTACTTGACATGTAACCAATTAATCTCTCCACCTAACAATAAAGATCTGGGAAGAAAGAGAGGGTCCAGGAACTATTTTTTCCTCAGATGCACTCACGTTTTGCAATTAGTGTGTTTTCATCAGTGTTAATTTCAAAATCCAATAATTCCATGTAAAGGTAAAGTGCCCTTAAAATGTGGTAAGCACTTCCAGTGATTTTACAAAACCTCCAGCAGGTCTTTGGGAGAGCCTTCTACCTCTAACTGAGAATGGCTTTGGGCCACTTGTTCTACTGAAAGTGTTTTCTCCTGAATCTCCAGCCCATATGCTCAAAAGGCTCTGAGGACCCCCTGGGGATTCATTCCTGGAGAAGTTTTATCCACAGAAAATGTGAATCTTACTACCAGAAAAAATGCAAGCAGCTTCTGTTTATTGAGGGTACACTTACTATGTGCCCAGTACTCTGTGCACTGTATATTAGGTCTTCAATTCATTGGTCCTCAGCCAGGGGAGGATTTCCCCCAAGGGTCATTTGACAATGTCTTGAGACATTTTTTGTCCTCACAGCGGGCATGGGGGGAGTGGAAAGAGGCCAAGGATGCTGCTAAATACCCTGCAATGCACAGGGTCGTTCCTCACAACAAAGAATTATCCTGCCCAAAACGTCAGTGGTGACAAGGTTGAGAAATAGTGCTCTAATTCTTGCAACAATTATACAAGGAAGGTGTTAGTATGCCAAGTTGGCCAAGAGAAACCAGGGACGCAGCAAATTTAAGATGTACTGAGTGGATCTGGGATAGAAATACAGATCTAATGCCCTCTTGTCTTAAGGCCTCTTTTCAAACAGAGTTCATGGAGAGAAGCCTAAAGAGATAGCAAAACATTTTCAAAGTAGATTTTAAGTATTTCCTAACCTTCCACATGTTACATAGGAAAAAATTTAAAAATAATTTTCTCATGTTAGAAACAAAAACAAGCTATTGGGCCACGTTATCTTACAATTTTACTGTTTAAAACTTCAGTATCACGGATCATATCCATATTTGCTTACACATGTCTAAAGAAACAGAAATAAAAAAATTATGGAGGGGTGTTACGCCTGAGGTTGAAACTGGGTACTGAGAAGATAAGGAGACTTTTCACTTACACAATTTCCTTTTTAAATTAAAAATACCTGTTTATAATTTCTGGGTTTTAACAATGTACATGTATTACCTGTTCAAAATTCAACAAACAAACCCTCCTCTCTGTGTGTTTAATCTTCACCAAAACTTCAATGATGACTTCACGTTCTTATGAGTTAAATAAAAGGTGGATGTTAAGCAAATTCAGAGATTCTACTGGGGAGTCACTGGACTAACTGCAGCCCAACTGTTGATTAGAAAACCTCCATGCTGGGCATTCAATGACCCGCTGTTAAATACCAAAGGCCTTTCCCCTCCACACATATACACTCGCACTGAAAGTTCAATATAAAGCCTCTTTGGTAGGTACTTACTATATACCCGAAAAATGGTTTAATATAGCCGGAGAATAAACTGCAGATAATTAAGATGGACTTATCATTAGAAGAGTCAAGTGCAGTCATTTCATGAGCACGCTGAGGGTAGAAGCGTAGAGGAGGCTGAGCAGACAGGCAGGAGTCAGATCAGGAGGGACCACTGAGGCCAGGCCGAGGAACACGAGTCTTACCATTTTCCACAGCCATGAGGATACCCTTCAAAGTTGGAAAATAGCTGCTTTGCTTATTTTTCAGGATCTTAACCATCTTGAGGACAATGGGAGCCTGAAGCTAAATTGAAAAAAAAAAAATATATATATATATATAAGCTAGATTAATGACTAAATAAATGCATTCTGCAATAAAATATTTAAATTGTATTCCATTCATGCACAGTACACACAGTATTTAATACTCAAAGACATACCTGGTTTCAAGTTAAAAATAATTTTTTTCCTTAAGACTGTATGTTATTTTACATTTATAGCTCTTAATCTGTATTTTCAAAAAGCCTGTTAATATACGTTTTATTATACATGTAAAATATTAACTTTTCCATATAAAATCTGTTTAGAAAATCTCTAACAGATAGGTGAACATGTGAATGAATGTCTTAGTTTTTAGAACATTAAACTGAGTAACTTCTAATGGCAAACACCAGCAGAGGAACCAGTTAGTTCTTCCAAAGTTGCATCTCTCCACTAAGCAAAATCTACTCCTTTCCCAAATTAATTACATCAACTAGATTAATCTTACAATCTTCAACATTTCCCTTGGGAACTACTCTTTCTTTGCCACAAAGTATTTCCAATTACTGTCAAAATAGTCTCAAAAAGGCAAAACTACTTTTAATCCCCATTAATTTTAAGAATGCATACCATACAGAACTTTGGAATAAGAAAACGGACAATTAAGTTGTTCAAAGACAGTGTATTAAACCTTTAACATTACTGGAAATCATGGCTTTGGAGACCGAATTCTACAAGTGACTTTGCTAATTCAACTGGCAAGCAATTTCTAGGGCTCTCAACTTACTTGATCATAAATGAATGCTAGGTTCTCTCTCCTCATCATCCAGAAATCCAGTTCGGTTTGAGGATTTGAGTGAAGACCATTCAGCAAAGGCCGCACTAAATCTTTCTCTACAATTTCTTGGATTTGATGCGACCATTTAATAACCACTGATTCAATTGCATGGAGTACTGTCCTTTCATTTGGCTCTAGTCTACAAACATTGAAATGATTAAAAATACAAAAATGAATCATTTCATCCAAATAAGGATAGGACTTGAATTTTAATAGGTATTTTATGAATCCATAAGCTAGTTTTCTAAATATAAATACTTCAAAATCAGATCTATTATTTTTATAGCCTCAAGCTGAGTTGTGACATTGTTATTCTGTCATGCACATGTCTCTAACATTTAAAAAATTGTTAAAGAATCATAATGTTCTCAAAAACATTTTACTAGAAGAGTATTGTTGACATGGCAATTGGTACTGCTTGCTTTTTGTACAGTCTGCTTTTAGAAAGAATACTTTGAAAGGAAATAATATATATGGTGTTTCTGTACATTATTTTTTAAAATATGCTGTAGTTATAATAATATTTTGCTAACAGTTTGCTGGGGGTATGATATTAAATGGGTGTGTTGGCTCTCCATGTTGATATCCTGTGCAAACCATATCATTACGTACTTGGTCTCTGAATATTTCTGATCCAGGTCAACATTTCCTGCAATAGTGGGAATTGGTAGAAGAGTTCTTCTCAACATTTTGCCCCTAAAACTATGCATTTTATTTTTCATGACTTCTATGTGACGTTCCATGTCTTGTGAAATAAAACAGGACCAGGATTTATGGTTGTTCTTATTAGAAATAATTGGCACTAAAATCTAGAGAAAGAGAAACATTTTAAAAAGCAGTGAAATTAATTTATACACAATGTGCTCCTTCAAAGATTTTCCTGTCACACGAGATCAGCAACAAAACCACCCAATTTCAATGTCATAAATATCCTCCTGTGATATCAAATCTACAAAGAGATGACAAAGTCAGTGACCCATTTAGATTTAATCAATTAGACAAATTCTTTCAAAGTGGAAATACTATACTACTTGTTCATTCATTTACCCATTTATCAAACATTTATGGAGGCTCCCAATAACTTAAACTCTGCATGAAATAAGCAAAATCATGTCAAGTAAGTAAACTGCTTTCTTAATGCAAACTGCGCACACTGGCAGGTATATTAATGTAAAAAAATCTTCTTGAATCACATGGAGGCAAGAGTAAATTAATCTTCTCCAGCCCTGGGTGACATCCCAGTGGGTTAAATTTTGATAGAAAGATGTTTATTTAATCATATGAACCTTTTTTCAACTCCTTCCACCATTAAGTTGGAAATATCAATGAAATTATATGTGTGAAAACACTCCAAAATTATTTTGTGTTCCCAAAGCCCAGCATATCTTACGTAATTAGTAGGAGTTTGTTGAGTTAATGAAGCTGGTCTCGCTTCCTCACTCATTTTCAATATGTACTAATTAAACATTTTTCTGACACAATCTGTCCAGACCATCAGCATTACCTATAAAATTTCCATTAGCTAAAATGCTTAGAAAACAGGTATTCCACCTATTTAAAGCTGATTTTGAGAACACAACCTTCTAGTTAACAAAAAACAAACTGAAATTTTATTTTCCAATGGGGATAAAACAAGTCTTTCCAAATTGTAATATTATTACAATTTCCTGCTTTGTACCCACTACTTGTTGAGCTAGGAGATTAGTAAGGAACAGTGTGTCTTCCATGGAAACAACCTAAATGTCCATCAACAGATGAATAGATAAAGAAGATGTGGTAGGGGAGGAGCTTCAAGATGGTCAAAGAGTAAGACGTGGAAATCACCTTCCTCCCCACAAATACATCAGAAATACATCAACAAGTGGAACAACTCCTACAGAACACCTACTGAACTCTGGCAGAAGACCTCAGACCTCCCAAAAGGCAAGAAACTCCCCACGTACCTGGGTAGGGCAAAAGAAAAAAGAATAAACAGACACAAAAGAATAGGGACGGGACCTGCACCAGTGGGAGGGAGCTGTGAAGGAGGAAAGGTTTCCACACACTAGGAAGCCCCCTCGCAGGCAAAGACTGCGGGTGGCAGAGGGGGGAAGCTTCGGAGCTGCGGAGGAGAGCACGGCAACAAGGGTGTGGAGGGCAAAGCGGGGAGATTCCCGCACAGAGGATCAGTGCCGACCAGCACTCACCAGCCCGAGAGGCTTGTCTGCTCACCCGCCGGGGCGCCCGGGCCTGGGAGCTGAGGCTTAGGCTTCGGTCAGATCCGAGGGAGAGGACTGGGTTTGGCGGCGTGAACTCAGCCTGAAGGGGGCTAGTGCGCCACAGCTAGCCGGAAGGGAGTCCGGGAAAGTGTGTGGAGCTGCTGAAGACGCAGGAGACCCAGCTCAACTCAACGACCAGCAAGCTACAGTGCTGGACACCCTATGCCAAACAACTAGCAAGACAGGAACACAACCCCACCCATTAGCAGAGAGGCTGCCTAAAATCATAATAAGTCCACAGACACCCCTAAACACACCACCTGACATGGACCTGCCCACCAGAAAGACAAGATCCAGCCTCATCCACCAGAACACAGGCACTAGTCACCTCCACCAGGAAGCCTACACAACCCATTGAACCAAACTTAGCCACTGGGGACAGACACCAAAAACAATGGGAATTACGAAACTGCAGCCTGCAAAAGGAGACCCCAAACACAGTAAGTTAAGCAAAATAAGAAGACAGAAAAACACACAGCAGATGAAGGAGCAAGGCAGAAATCCACCATACCTAAAAAATGAAGAGGAAATAGGCAGTCTACTTGAAAAAGAATTCAGAATAATGATAGTAAAGATAATCCAAAATCTTGGAAATAGAACGGACAAAATACAAGAAATGTTTAACAAGGACCTAGAAGAACTAAAGAGCAAACACACAGTGATGAACAACACAATAAATGAAATTAAAAATTCTCTAGAAGGGATCAATAGCAGAATAACTGAGGCAGAAGAACGGATAAGTGACCTGGAAGATAAAATAGTGGAAATAACTACTGCAGAGCAGAATAAAGAAAAAACAATGAAAAGAACTGAGGACAGTCTCAGAGACCTCTGGGACAACATTAAGCACACCAACATTCAAATTATAGGAGTCCCAGAAGAAGAAGAGAAAAAGAAAGGTACCGAAAATATTTGAAGAGATTATAGTTGAAAACTTCGCTAATACGGGAAAGGAAATAGTCAATCAAGTCCAGGAAGTACAGACAACCTGATACAGGATAAATCCAAGGAGAAACACGCCAAGACACATATTAATCAAACTATCAAAAATTAAATACAATGAAAAAATATTAAAAGCAGCAAGGGAAAAACAACAAATAACATACAAGGGAGTCCCCATAAGGTTAACAGCTGATCTTTCAGCAGAAGCTCTGCAAGCCAGAAGGGAGTGGCAGGACATATTTAAAGTGAGGAAAGGGAAAAACCTACATCCAGGATTACTCGATCCAGAAAGGATCTCGTTCAGATTTGATGGAGAAATTAAAACCTTTACAGACAAGTAAAAGCTAAGAGAATTCAGCACCAGCAAACCAGGTCTACAACAACTGCTAAAGGAACTTATCTAGGCAGGAAACACAAGAGAAGGAAAAGACCTACAATAACAAACCCAAAACAATTAAGAAAATGGGAATAGGAACATACATATCGAAAATTACCTTGAATGTAAACGGCTTAAATGCTCCAATCAAAAGACATAGATTGGCTGAATGGATACAAAAACAAGACCTGTATATATGCTGTCTACAAGAGACCCACTTCAGACCTCGGGACACATATAGACTGAAAGTGAGGGGATGGAAAAAATATTCCATGCACATGGAAATCAAAAGAAAGCTGGAGTAGCAATTCTCATATCAGACAAAATAGACATTACTTTTTTATTTTTAATTTTTTAATTTTAATTTTTATTTTTTTAACATCTTTGCAGAGTATAATTGCTTTACAATGATTTGTTAGTTTCTGCTTTATAACAACAAAATAGACTTTAAAACAAAGACTATTACAAGAGACAAAGAAGGAGACTACATAATGATCAAGGGATCAATCCAAGAAGAAGATATAACAACTGTAAATATTTATGCACGCAACATAGGAGCATCTCAATACATAAGGCAAACACTAACAGCTATAAAAGGGGAAATCGACAGGAACACAATCATAGTAGGGGACTTTAAAACCCCACTTTCACCAATGGACAGATCATCCAGAATGAAAATCAATAAGAAAACACAAGCTTTAAATGATACATTAAACAAGATAGATTTAATTGATATTTATAAGACATTCTATCCAAAAACAACAAAATACACATTCTTCTCAAGTGCTCATGGAACATTCTCCAGGAGAGATCATATCTTGGATCACAAATCAAGCCTTGGTAAATTTAAGAAAATTGAAATCACATCAAGTACCTTTTCGGACCACAACGCTATGAGACTGGCTATCAATTACTGGAAAAATCTGTAAAAAATACAAAGACATGGAGGCTAAACAACACACTACTTAATAACCAAGAGATCACTGAAGAAATCAAAGAGGAAAACAAAAAATACTTAGAAACAAATGACAATGGAAACATGACGACCCAAAACCTATGTGATGCAGCAAAAGCAGGTCTAAGAGGGAAGTTTATAGCACTACAATCCTACCTTAAGAAACAAGAAGCATCTCAAATAAACAACCTAACCTTGCACCTAAAGCAATTAGAGAAAGAAGAACAAAAAACCCCCAAAGTTAAAAGGAAAGAAATCATAAAGATCAGGTCAGAAATAAATGAAAAAGAAATGAAAGAAACGATAGCAAGGATCAATAAAACTAAAAACTGGTTCTTTGAGAAAATAAACAAAATTGATAAACCATTAGCCGGACACATCAAGAAAAAAAGGGAGAAGACTCAAATCAATAGACTTAGAAATTGAAAAGGAGAAGTAACAACTGACACTGCAGAAATACAACAGATCATGAAAGATTACTACAAGCAACGTTATGCCAATAAAACGGACAACCTGGAAGAAATGGACAAACTCTTAGAAATGCACAAACTTCTGAGACTGAACCAGGAAGAAAAAGAAAATATGAACAGACCAATCACAAGCACTGAAACTGAAACTGTGATTGCAAATCTTCCAACAAAAATCCCAGGACCAGATGGCTTCACAGGTGAATTCTATCAAACATTTAGAGAAGAGCTAACACCTATCCTTCACAAAGGCTTCCAAAATACAGCAGAGGGAGGAACACTCCCAAACTCATTCTGTGAGGCCACCATCACCCTGATACAAAAACCAGAAAAAGATGTCACAAAAAAAGAAAACTATAGGCCAATAACATTGAGGAACACAGATGCAAAAATCCTCAATAAAATACTAGTAAACAGAATCCAACAGCACATTAAAAGGATCATACACCATGATCAAGTGGGGTTTATCCCAGGAATGCAAGGATTCTTCAATATATGCAAATCAATCAATGTGATAAACCATATCAACAAATTTGAAGGAGAAAAACCATATGATCATCTCAATAGATGCAGAGAAAGCTTCTGACAAAATTCAAGACCAATTTATGATAAAAACCCTCCAGAGAGTAGGCATAGAGGGAACTTTCCTCAATATAGTAAAGGCCACATATGAAAAACCCACAGCCAACATCATCCTCAATGGCGAAAAACTGAAACCATTCCCACTAAGATCAGGAACAAGACAAGGTTGCCCACTCTCACCACTCTTATTCAACATAGTTTTGGAAGTTTTTAGCCACAGCAATCAGAG